GAAGACAGCGTTTGGCACAAGGTATATGTCAGTATGCCGGAAAAAAAAAAACAGATAAAATGGCGAGTCCAAACAGTTTTGCAGACAAGCGGAGTCAAAAGATTCTGTGGGGTGGTCCATTGAGCTGTCATGGATGTTCCTCAGAAGTCTTGCCAGTGTAGTGAGTAGAATAGAGGGGGGAGATTCTGTTCAAGAGTGTAAGAGTTTCTACTTTGTGCCCGTCTCTGCAGGTTTTTTCTATTCAGCGGCTTCCTGCAAAATGTTCCCTACGTCTTGCTCAAGTTTTACGTTTTTAGCAGTAGGGGCAGGTCCCAGCTCCAAAAGGTCCATGAGCTCGTGCGCTGACATGCTGCAATCCCACTCAGAGCCTGTGGGGGTGTACCCGGAAAGAGAATTAGCCAATGCTTTTGTACGCAGTCTTCTTTCCTCTAGAAAACGTCTTTACAGGATGGTCCAAAAGTGGCTCTTGGCCCAACTCTACGTTCCAGATGCAGTCAACGCTGAAGGGAGTGTTTTTTTGGACCAGCCTAGTTACGCCGCTGTGGACTTTTGAATGCGGCCGTTAAATGAATGGGGCTCATCCTGACTAACGCATGCGCAAATGCGTTTTTTCATATTTTCTTGCCCCGTGGCCCTTTTGAAAAAGCCCACAGAAGGCAAAAGTGGTGGCACATTAGTTTCAATGGCGGAGATAGGCGTCATTACGTTCGTTAATATTTACAGTCTATGGTTTTTAGTCATCCTCTTTCAGTCCTGTTTTTTCAGGGCTTCACATCTTTTGTCTGTTTCATATCAGATTTCATGTTTAATATATCTGTTTCATGGCTCATAATCCCCTCCAAACACCAAATTAGTGGTTGAGCCTAGATTATTTTTTCTTAAACACAGAATACAAGACTTAGTATTCCGAATAATCTTTATTGCCACTCATCCTTTGGACTGCCTTACGAAAGGATTTGCCAATGGGACAAGCAAAATGATCTTTTCTTTTGTTTAAATTTACGAGAAATGTCTCTCTTGGATTGACAAAAACTGGCAACAGTCCTTGAAATACGACTAAATGGCTTCGTCCCATTTCAAATCTTGTTTAAGACAGTCAGAATGTGCTCAAATTAAGATAAAAACCACTCGATTCAAGCAATTATTACCTCAGATTTTCTCATTTTTTGCAGTGTACCCAGCAGCTGTGTCTCGTGATCCATTCATTAAGTCCAGACTCATTTATAAACACAGAATAGACTCTCTGCTTCCTCTCATGAGCCGTCACAGTCCACTCGGAGCTGTGCAAAATGAAAACAGAAGTGCTGCAGCTGTAAGGCGGGTGTGATGACCGCTGCAGTGACACATGTTTCCCGTGTTTCTCCCTGTGTTCTATCTGTCTGTCTGAGTTACGTCTGTCTGAAACTACATCTGCTGACGGCATCTTCAGCAGAATACACAATGTGCCCCTGCTGCGTGCTTTAAGTCTTAAAAGGACAGGGCCGCCGTCTCTTGACAGCGAGAGGTTGAGAGAGACTGTGAAAGTACTTGTATTTTCAGGTAAAAAGCTGCTTGCGAGCACTGGAAAGGGTTTGCAAATTGTGTTCTTATAGTCACAATAGAAGACCAGACTATTCATCAGAAATAATCACTTTACTTGGCTATTACTCAACATTGAAGACATGACAGAAGTTGGAAATTGGGCTTTGAAATTGAGCTCGCTGGCGACATTTGTTGTACAGACTGGGCTATTACAAAATGTTGAGAAAGAAATTGTTAATTTGGGAAACATATTGACATTCTGTTTCTTCGCTCTGCCAGAAAACTGACTCAAAGAGTGCTCTGTTCAATGAGTTATGGCAGAACACAGCCTGCTAAATATGGTACATGTCACAATGAGACATTCTAGTCATTTCCAACAAAACAGATTCAGACTCAGTTTATGTGCCATTTGCAGTAAAACCACATTGGAACATGTTTGCAAAAAGTCCCCAGTCTGCACAAGACGGCACACAAATAAAAATAATAAAAGTTTAAATACATGTCCCATCATTAAAGTGCTTTGTTTAAACTGATAACCGTTTGTGGAAAGAAGCTGGAACACTTCTTTTCCAGGGGCCAAAAGAGTCTTTGATTATTCTAAGAGCTTGGTTTAATATTCAAGAACTTAGAACAGGCAGCTCACAGTCCCCTTTGCAGAAGGGAGCAATTCTCTCTGGTCTCTCTCTCCCTGGTGTTGTTTTTTAAAATTCTCCATGAATAAAGTTGAATTGAATAATTAACATATCTTGGATTTTCACTGATTTTAGGCACGTACCACAGAATGATTGACAGCTGGGAGGACCGACAGTCTAGATCCTCTAGTCCTTCACCTGGCAACAAGCCGGGATTCCGCTCCCTTCCAGGCCCCCTCCCCACACATTACCACCGGGTTTCCCACCGAAGAACCATCAAGACCTGGACTAGCTGGGAGCCGTCTGTAGCCCACACCGCTCAGGCAGGGATGTCTCGACGCACACGCCACCTTCTTGTCTCTTTATGCTGTAAGTGCTGGGAGCGTGGCGAGCAGATGAAGCGTGCACGGCTGTTAAATTCCAACTAGAACGCAGGGGAGAGGGCTGTTTGCGTTTCATGTAATTATACGGAGGCTTTGGGCTGGCGGATTCCTGCAGGGTTACTTTTCTGTCACTGCTCATAACGGTTAGGATTTTCACGCTAATGTGCGTTTTGTTTCATACAGGAGCATACTGTAGATGACACTGGGGAGGAATGACTGAAATGTATGTGGGAAAGCCTTTTTTTTCTTTTATGTGCAGCCAGACTTTAACTATGCATTTTTGTTCTTGAATGATGGAGCGTTGCCAGTGGTTCTCGTCACCATCTGACATCTGTGTCATGAACCCTTTTGGCGCCAGAAGTGTTTTCTAAGAGGCTAAATTTTGACGTCTTAATTTCTAATAACTTTAAAGTGATAAGACATACAGTGCCTTGCACAAGTATTTTTGTGTGTTTTGTTGCCTCACAACCTGGAATAAACATGGATTGTTTGAGGATTTGCATCAGTTAATTTACAGAACATGCCACAACTTTGAAGATGTTGTCTTTTTGTTATTGTGAAGTAAACAACAAATATGCACATTGACCTTTTCTGTTATTTTGTCCTAACTATTCACCCCCCTAAAGTCAATACTTTGTAGAGCCTCCTTTTGCGGCAATCACAGCTCCAAGTCGCTTTGGATAAGTCTCTATGAGCTTGCCACATCTTACCACTGAAATGTTTGCCCATTCCTCCTTGCAAAACCGCTCCAGCTCCTTCAAGTTGGATGGTTTGCGCTTCTGAACAGTCATCTTTAAGTCTGACCACAGATTTTCTATTGGACTGAGGTCTGGGCTTTGACTCGGCCCAACACATTTACATGTTTCCCCTTAAACCACTGAAGTGTTGCTTTAGCAGTGTGTTTGGGCTCATTGTCCTGCTGGAAGGTGAACCTCCGTCCTAGCCTCAAATACGCACAGAGTGGAACAGGTTTTGCTCAAGAATATCCCTGTATTTAGCCCCATCCATCTTTCCCTCAACTCTGACCAGTTTCCCAGTCCAATCCCCACAGCATGATGCTGCCACCACCATGCTTCACTGTGGGGATGGTGTTCTTTGGGTGATGTGATGTGTTGGGTCTGCGCCAGACATAGCGTTTTCCTTGATGGCCGAAAAGTAAAATTTTAGTCTCTTCAGACCAGAGCACCTTCCTCCATACATTTTGGGAGTCTCCCACATGCCTTTTGGCAAACTCAAAACGTGCCATTTTGTTTTTTGCTGAAAGTAATGTCTTTGTTCTGCCACTCTGCCATAAAGCCCAACTCTATGGAGCGTACGGCTTATTGTGGTCCTATGTACAGATGCTCCAGTCTCTGCTGTGGAACTCTGCAGCTCCTCCAGGGTTACCTCAGGGCTCTGTGCTGCCTCTGATTAATGCCCTCCGTGCCCGGTCCGTGAGTTTTGGTGGGCGGCCGTCTCTTGGCAGGTTTGCTGTTGTGCCATGTTCTTTCCATTTGGTTATGATAGATTTGATGGTGCTCCTGGGGATCATTACAGATTTGGATATTTGTTTATAACCTAACCCTGACTTGTACTTCTCAACAACACTGTCCCTGACTTGTTTGGAGAATTCCTTGGTCTTCATGGCAGTGTTTGGTTAGTGGTGCCTCTTGCTTTGATGTTGCAGCCTCTGAGACATTTCAGGTGTGTGTATGTACTGACAGATCACATGAAATTCAGGTTAAAAAAACATTGAACTAAAGGCAGTAATGTAACAAAATAGGTAGAGGCTTTATGTAAATTAGATACATTATAAGGAAGGCCCAAAGTTTATTTAGGAATTAAATGTACCTATATAATGTCCATATCATGACTCCATACGGTGGGGGCAATAATGGATTATCATTTTCATTTTTCTACTGACACACACAGTCAGTAGGACATGATCACACAAACAGAGCTCACACTGAACCACACTCAAAGGTATAAGGTAAAAGTAGTGAACTAAACTAACTGGAGTTACTACTGTCCTGATTATATACCAACAAAACAAGACTTTTTTGCTCTAAAAGTAAGAAAAGAAAATGGTGAGTAGCATGAATAAGAAAATACAATAAACTCCTTCCTTGGCAGAGTCTCACAGTCCCAGTGAAAGTACTTTCTGGAAGATGCCTTTTCCACTCTGTATATCCCGTATATTCTGAAGCCAATACTAATATTTACTGCTATTCAAATCCAGCAGGGGATTATAAAAAAAAATACATCCTCTAAAACCAATTTATGTATGAGAGAAGTTGGGCAGAGATAGTGCGACGCAGAAACGCATGCATAAAGCGGGTTTTTGTGACTGCTTCTTCAGCTCCTACTTTTTTCCCTTTCATAATTCCACTGCCTTTTTGTAAAACCCTTAATGTCAAATAAAAACTATATTATAAAACGGAATGAGGCATTTAATAGAGAGTAGAGCTGCGGGAGCACGGCGGCCCTACATGATTTGGAGGCTGAATTTTAATAAGAAATAGATCCTGGGAAGGCGTGCAGAGTGGGAGAAAGGGGATGCGAGTTCAGTGACAGCATTAGCCCCGCGCAGCCCGTCGTGCTCCACGCTGTAGACGCCGCCGCTGTACACGGCGCCGCCGCTGTAGACGCCGCCGCTGTAGACGCCGCCGCTGTAGACGCCGCCGCTGTAGACGCCTCCGCTGTACACGCCGCCGCTGTACACGCCGCCGCTGTACACGCCGGCGCTGTACACGCCGCTGCTGTACACGCCGCCGCCGCTGTAGACGCCGCCGCCGCTGTAGACGCCGCCGCCGCTGTAGACGCCGCCGCCGCTGTAGACGCCGCCGCCGCTGTAGACGCCGCCGCCGTAGACGCCGCTGCCGTAGACGCCGCTGCCGTAGACGCCGCCGCCGTACACGCCGCCGCTGTAGACGCCGCCGCTGTAGACGCCGCCGCTGTAGACGCCGCCGCTGTACACGCCGCCGCTGTACACGCCGCCGCTGTAGACGCCGCCGCTGTAGACGCCGCCGCTGTAGACGCCGCCGCTGTAGACGCCGCTGCTGTACACGCCGCCGCTGTAGACGCCGCCGCTGTAGACGCCAACGCTGTACACGCCGCCGCTGTAGACGCCAACGCTGTAGACGCCAACGCTGTAGACGCCGCCGCTGTAGATGTCAACGCTGTACACGCCGCCGCTGTAGACGCCAACGCTGTACACGCCGCCGCTGTAGACGTCAACGCTGTACACGCCGCCGCTGTACACGCCGACGCTGCTCTTTGGCACTTTCAGACACACTTCAAAACTATATGGAAAACCCAGATATTTGTTTTGGATTTTAAAACTTCTACACATTGAACGAGTTGAATGAATGTTTGGTGTGAATGATCTACCTGCCAACAGCTTCAATGGATCAATGGGGAGACAGTGGCTCAGTTGGTAGAGCATTGACCTTTGAGCCTGAAGGTTGTGAGTTTGAGTCCACCTCAAGACTTTCTCCACCGACTCCCACTGATGTCTGCTGTCTTTGTGTCCTTGGGCAAGACACTTAACCTCTGGGAACACCAGTGGGGCGGCTGCGGCTGTAAAGTGCCAAACTGCCGTTGTGCCCTTAGGCAAGACACTTCCCCCACATTAGAATGAGTCTGGTGTGTGTGTGAATGGTTGGTGGTGGTGGGAGGGGTCGATTGCACAGACTGGTTACCTCGCTTCAATCCTATCTCCGGCGTTGAAACTAATGTGCCACAATTTTTTAAAATGGCTAATACTCCACTCATTCGACGGGTGCATCCTGAAGTCCACAGCGGCATAACTAGACTGGTCCATCTAGTTTCTCCTGTGGACGTCTGTGTGTGTTTGTGTTTTCCTCCCTTTTCTGCGCATGTGAGTCCTGCGCTCCGATTGGCTGAACCCATTCATTTAACGAGTGGATTCATAAAGAACCTCCAGAACAGAAAGCTCACAGCTCACAGTCCTCTCTGGTCTCTCTCTCTCTCTGGTCTCTCTCTCTCTCTGGTCTCTCTCTCTGGTCTCTCTCTCTGGTCTCTCTCTCTGGTCTCTCTCTCTGGTCTCTCTCTCTCTCTGGTCTCTCTCTCTGGTCTCTCTCTCTCTCTCTCTCTCTGGTCTCTCTCTCTCTGGTCTCTCTCTCTCTGGTCTCTCTCTCTCTGGTCTCTCTCTCTCTGGTCTCTCTCTCTCTGGTCTCTCTCTCTCTGGTCTCTCTCTCTGGTCTCTCTCTCTGGTCTCTCTCTCTGGTCTCTCTCTCTGGTCTCTCTCTCTGGTCTCTCTCTCTGGTCTCTCTCTCTGGTCTCTCTCTGTCTCTCTCTGGTCTCTCTCTCTGGTCTCTCTCTCTGGTCTCTCTCTCTGGTCTCTCTCTCTGGTCTCTCTCTCTGGTCTCTCTCTCTGGTCTCTCTCTCTGGTCTCTCTCTCGTCTCCTTTCTTTGATGTCACCAAACCACAGTCACAGAACCAACAAACTTTCAACTGTGCAGAGATAAAACTTAAGGAAGATCTTAGAGTTAGTGCTACATTTTTATTCATTACAAAATATTAAGTTTACGGGATCCATGATTGGTCCCACAGTGGGAACATTTCAGTGTTGCATCACAAGTTAAAGACCAGTGGGAGGAGCACACAACACAAGGTAAGTGAATATTAAGTACAGCAAAACTCTATATATAAAAGAAAAATATTAAATGGAATCGTGTCATTTCAACACAGCTTAGTATTAACAAAAACAGCGCTTCCTCTTGACTGTGAAGGGGTATTTTTCACCTATTTTTGATTCGATAAATGAGCTCCGTTACTGCAGGAGCGACTCGTGTTCATCAGATCAATGGCACGGGAGAGGAATCGACCTGGGACTGAATAGAAAGGAAGAGACTCAAAATTCAATCTGGGGATGGCTCCTTTGGCTCGGCCACACTTTGGATTGATCCGTCTGAACGAGGAGTGCTGACATTGACAAGGACCAACTACTTGTGCCCGTGAAAGAAAAAAACATTGATATTGCATTAGGAATATGATTGGATTGTGATTCCGAAGGTCTCGAGAGTTGCAGAGAAAGAGCCTACAGCCACAGTCGGACCCACACTATGTGCATTTGTCAAAATGAATTATTCTTAATGGATTTAAGTTATGCTTCTGTGTGCGTGTGTAGTTGTGTAGTCGTGTGAATTGTCAAGCTCAGAATCAGTGTATAATGTTCAGGATTGTTCATCGACTTTGACTCATTACATTCTACTTTCCAGCAAAACATTTACGTTTTAGGTTTTACTGTATGTTTCCAGAAATGTACTGCCTTTTGTATTTTGAACTTTGATTGGCTCGCCCCATTCATATAACAACAAAAACACAATTTTTTTATTTAATTTTGTAATATTTTCCTTTGAATTATTATTGTTGCATTGTTCTGTTTTTGAATAAAGACATTCTGACCATTTGAACTCAAAAGGAAAAATCTCACAAATAAAGTATAGAAACACTATAAAAACTTGATGTTTGCAAATGACAAAGGAAACATATTTTAAAGGGTTGTTACTAAATACACAAGTGAGCACAGTATGAGGTCAAACTGATGTACAGGAGAATAATGGAAAATTATTGCAAAACAAAAATAATGTAATGATGAGGTAATAAATGCTTGAATCAAAGGTTTTTTCAAATCCTAATTCGAGAACATTCCGACAGCCTTATGACGAGATTTGCCAACGGGATTTCATTTTTTAGTTACTTTTCTCTTCATTTCCTCATTCCAGGGAAGACATTCTTGAATCTTGTTTGAAGGCAGAAACAATGTGCTCAATTTAAGAATCATTTTGCCAAATCTTAGCACTATTTGACTTATTTTTCTGCACTTTTTGCAGTGTGGGCCACATGTAATCTTTGGGTCAACATGTAAACCACTCAAATCCTACTTTAGTTCACCCAAACGGCCTGCATGGAACCTGCAGACACCTGTGAACCATGCTTTTGTTTTTCTAAATATCAGTGTGAAACAGTTGTGCTTTCACCTTGCCTCCTGGCCTTCTTTTAAGTATAAATAGATGTTTTCAGTGACGTGCCCTTCCCAGTTTCCCTCCGCGCGACACTAAAGGTGCTACTATTGGTGACATATGTACAGCGTAGGAGCACACCTCGCCCTTCACAAGACGTATCGCCCACAACCTAAAAATGTAATATGGGCCTTCCAGTGATGATTAGGTCTAGTAAGTCCCAGATTCCTTTGTAGTACCCTCACATGTCATTCCAAGGAGGCTGTAGCAAGACCTAAGGCACGGCCGGGATTACACTAAATTTCAGTGAAGATAAAGCTGTTGCCTGGGAGCAAGACAAGACAGTAATTCTCATCTCGGCTTCCATTATCGTGCTTTTCATTCTTTCATTTACTCCGTAGCCACTGCATTGAGCTAAACTCTTCATCATCACTGCCTCGACGTTACCTGAAGAAACAAAAAAAGGGAATCTATCCGGGACACATCCTCAAAGCTCATTCAACCTTTAAGGAGAAATAACAGAAGCTTGATTGGAACTTTATTATGCCTTTTGTCTTCGGCTACTGGAGCAAACAAAAGCCGTCAGCAGGGGCCCAAATGACCTCCTTCGCACAATGGGAACAGTGCGCAGAAATGTGGCGCTAATCCGTAATTCATGAGATTATAAAAGTTGGCTTTGGAACGGTAATAATACGGTGGACACACTTCATTACACTTTGTTCAAGGGTGGCATGCAAATTAGGCTCATTTGTATAATCGCTCTAAATGAAAAACTGATAATCAAATAGCATCGCAAGGCATTAATATTCCATTAGTCGCAGGCAGGTGTTTGTGGAGAGGCCCATACAACTACTCAGTCCAGACCCATGTTCAGGTCAAAAAGTAAACGGTCAATGTAAGCTGCCATTTTGGGTTTTATGGCAATTTGGTGAAGGCACACACTTTATTGGGAAGGTGGACAAACTTTACACAATGATTGTTTTCTATAGTTTTCCCCATTTCCACCTTGGACAAAACACTTGATGTGACCTTTGCGAATTGTGTTGTACAAAGAGAATATGACTTACTACGTATACAGTACATACACAATACATTTAGTACAATACAATTCAATGTATGTAAAATACAACAACTTAAACCCTGGTCCTAAAACAAAACCAAAACCTCAAACGCAGAGAAATACCAAACTCGAACGTGCACCACTCTTGAGATGGACAACAATGCACTATAAAGGATCTGAAGCTGATCATCTCGGCACAATCGGCCCTTCTCAGGTCCCGTCCTGGTGTAGTGTGAGTGTGTCTGAGGTGTGACGTGGGCCGGGCGCTGCTCCCGCTCTGCATACTAATCCACACCTGCTCCACGCCGCAGTATAAGTAGAAGTCTTGTGTCCATTCAGCCGCAGATCCTGTGTATCTTTAACCCGACGACCACTCCCCTCGGGAACGCCACGCTCACATATTCACAGCAGCGGTCGTTTGCCCATGAGCGTAAGATTTATCCGTCCTGATCATATGTTGTTAGTCATTTCAAACACGTCTCTTCTCAACCATAAGTGTGGGAAAAAGTCCCTCGGTCCGCTCCCACGTTTGCTCCATTTCTTCCTCCTCTCTTCCCCCACCACCACCCCCTGTTCCGTTTTGAAATTCTCTAAAGATAGAAGAATAGGCTTTCGAAAATAACATTATCTTCAAACAAACATTTCACTTTTAATCATCACATTTTTTCGCCCCTTATACAATTCATGGCGGTATTGGAAGGCCTTTTGATGCTGTTCTTTTTGCGAGTGTCCGGGGATTCGCTCCCCAGTGGCCTCTGTGCTTACACCAAAGCTTGCCTTTCAAACCCAGCTTTGAGTAAAGGAGGGAAGTGAAAAAAAAAAAAAAAAAAAGGAAGCCTCGTAGGAAAATAGGTGGTGAACTGATGAACAATTCACTGGTGAGAGCTGACAGGAATAGCAATGTTATCACCTTGTCTGTTCTGTTGTGCTCAGGAGTGGCTGCTCTCACTGGACACGCATCTGTCAATCAAAGAGTTATAGCAACACAAATGCAACCCGACTGGAGAGCAGTCGAGAAACAAACTAATAGTTTACCGCTGGATCAGATATGTTACTTTCTGCCTCTGAAAGCATTGGAATTAATATCTACTGTGACACACACACACACTTAATAATGAAAATAAAAATACGTAATTCTAATATTTTTCCATAGATGTTTGACTGGAGAATGCTAACCCCATTGCTCAATGAGGCCCAATGGGAAGCGCCCATGAACAAAGTTTTGCTCTGACTCTCTCTGGCTTCTGCTGTCACTGAAAAGTCAACTCGTCTTTTTCACTCAAGCTTCTGGACTTTTAAAAAAAACATGCTTAAGCGCTTTTTCTGAACTGGGTGTTTTTATAGTGATATTATCTTTGTACATCCAAATAAGATCACCAAACCAGAATCATACATTGATTACATTTGTGAGGGAAACTGTTTGCCCCGGTCACGGTGCAAAGCTAAACCCCGTCGGATCAAATGCCCATATAAGGAAATTGGCTCCAGCTCGCTTATGTTCAGCTTCAATTGCATTCGGCAAACACACCTCTCCTAATGTAACGTCTGTGTTTGACATAATTTTGGACAAATATTGAACAATTTGCATGTATTATTCATTTCCCCACAAATCAAACATATTTCTCAGGTGTACTGTAGACTTCTGACTCGGATCGTATCAATACCTTTAAGATGAAGCCTTTTCATTCCACATAGGACTAAGCTGTGCCTTCCGCATGTGTAGCTCGAGGGGATTGAGTGGCATTGCTTGGTTCTATGAAGAAAGCGACCGCTGATAAGGATCTTCACAATTGCAGGATTAAAGCAGATTGCTCACATCTGGAGGACTTGTGGTGTTTAAAGGCCCTCACTGCCTGTAATTGTGCCCCGCTCTCCCTGGCCCAGCACCGCCCTGTAACAACAGAGCCCTGATAATGTTATTACTCGTGCTTCATGACCAGGAAAGATAAGAGAAATAGGTTTCTTTAAGCCCTGCGCCGGCTTAACCTATGGCTCTACTTATAGCAGCTCAAAGGTCTACACTCGCACAATATCTCAACGTACAATTCACCCACTTTTCAAGGCATGACGTCAAAAGAGCTGTGGCTCACACACGGTGAAGCCAAAACAAAACTGTGGATATCTGGTCACTTAAGTTAAAGGTGTAGAGGAGGATTTTCCCAAATTTCAGGAAAGAACCCTCTCTACCCTCTCCAATAAAACTCTCTGGTCTTATTTGACGAGTACGTATCATCAGAATGATTGACAATTGGGAGGACCAATAGTCTTGATGATCCACCCGGAAGTAGAAAATCCCTCTCCAAACGTTTAAGGTGGTAAACAAGAGATATCATAATAATATCTGGATATGGTATAACCAGCTTATGGCGTGTCCCACCTGCAGTACTGCA